CTGATCATTTATGTATACATTTGTCTATATCTATCTCGATTCGTTTTGCCTGTTACAAACAACCGTTATGTGAACAAAGTTATAATACCCTTGTGCACAAGTGCGCTCGGGTATAAAAACAAAACCGACTCCAATTCTCATAGAAAACTTAAAATTATCGTTAATTTCTTCATGATTAAATGATCCGATTTAAACCGAGTTAGTATGGGACCACCTATGAGGTAACACCTTTCCTTTAAAGAAATAATTATAGAAATCGGTTAACGTGGTCCAAAGTTAACAGCGGTAACATACATAAAGCAAAATATTCTGCATTTTTTATGAATACGAGTGTCAGCAGGGGCGTAGAGAGGAATTTCTGACCCGGAGGGAATCTCGAATGTGGGCCCCTAAACACATCACAGCCGCCGCTTAAATATTCTATAATTATAAAAATATGCGCAAAAAAGCTAAAGCATGTAGTGTTTCTTAAATTTTGATGAACTACTCTACTCTACCTTCTGCACTTCAGTTTAACAACATACCAAGTGGTACTACAATGCGAATACGTAACATTTGTTGTTAGAACAACAGAAAGAGAGGCTGCAAACTTAACTAAAGATAAGTATGTACGTATGTACGGACATATACATATACAGTAGGTGCTTAAAACAATTCTTTTTGTATCTACATGTATGTAGAGTTATGACATATGCACACAGACATAAAAGTGTATGTATGTATGTGCATATATAAACTACAGCTGCGACATTTTGGCTGCTTTAAAGGCGCTTTCGTTTCTTTTATTATTTTTCCATTTCTATAATGCTTTTGCGTACTTCAAAGTTTGCTTACTTTCTTTTCTGTGTAGGTAGTGTAGCAAAACCTCGTATCTCGTAAAATTAATTCTGAATAGGCCTTAAAATAAATACTATGATTTATATCTTTCTCAATTAGTTAAAAAGTACTTAATCTTTAATATCCAAAATCTAAAAGTTTTAAAAATGATTTTTGCTTGTTACGAGTTTTTCCAAAGTTTCGGCGATATCTTCATACGGGCTTAAACTTGCTTACATAATATGTGTATACCTAAGAAACGCATGCTGCTATACTGACTATATACTTTTTTATACATATATGTATGTCTTACGAATTTATTTAGCTACATATGCTGCATTAGGACTCTCATATTTTCTAATCAAACAAATGTCTTTCACATACGAAAAACTAGTTAGTAGTTACATTGTACGAGAGTTGGATGGTGAGCAAGATGACGTTTGTTTTCCTTTCTTTCTTAGCTTTTAAAATTATTTCAGCTCTTAAGTCTACAAGCTTTTCTGTATTTATGAAAGTACGTATATAAGTAGGTGCCTTTCGCGTTATTTGTTACATAATTTTTCCACTGAACTGCAAATTTTCGTATGCGAACGTAGAAAAATGCAAATGCTTGGCTGTCGTTTTGCCAATTGTAACCAGATAATTCAAAAGCAATTTATTAAGGTACACCGACAGAACAGCTTCAGCGATGCAGCTCGTTTTCTTAAGTTGGGTAAGAACCTACATAAATTCTTAAAACAATCATAATTTAAAAGCTGTTGCAGAGTTTGGGGCAACAACGTTCAAAAAGTTTAGCTGTCAAAGCAGTTTTTAGTAAAAACTTTCCTCACATGAGCTGTTTAATGATTTCAAATGTATTCGCTTGGCGAATTTTATGCTTTAAAATGATAAGATTTCATCATAAGAAAATCAACAAAGAAAGAAAAAATTTTATATCACTTAGAAGGTGGTAAAAAGTGGTTAAAACAAAGCGAATCCAAAATATCGGAAGTCACACTAAAGTCATATGATTTCTGTAACTGTAAAGATAATAAGATTCTGGTCGGACATATATGTATATAAGTGGCCAGGATTTGTCAGATAACTATGTCGCAAAAAGGATTTTTAAATTTAAGCTGAACTGGGATTCGCTCAAAACTAGAATAGGCAACTAAAAATGTGTTGCAAAATATCATAAAATTCGCTAAGAAGGTATCATGGATTGTCGATTTTGTACCCAATGTGAACGATGGTTCAATCTATGTGCTTAACAATTCGTCTACGAGTAACTTTTCAAGCCAGCTAGCTTCAGTCTTACATATGTATTTACGTCATTCTAAGATATACGCTTCACATAAGATGTAAACAAGCCAAATGCTTTGTTTTTTTTTTTAAATATCAAATAGATTATTTAAAAAACATACCTGCATATATGATTAGAAAAACTTGTCGAAATTCACCGAAATTAAAATAAGTTAATAGTGAAAACAAATATTTGTAAGCAAGCTTTCTAAATATGTAATAAATCGGTCCATAAATACTTGTCTACCAAATATATTGACTCGTGCGCCACCTATCGGCTAAATCTTCAGTGTATTATTTCTTTTCGTGTAGTTAATATACGTTTTAAATATGAAGCAAATCGGACTTAAAATATGGGCGTTTGGAATATCTCGACTATTGCGCCACCTATCAGAAAAACTCATCTTCCGTATTGCATTGTCGTCGAGCCGACTGAGAAGTTGCAAGTCTCTAGGTCATTCATTGCAAGATTTGCCCCTGACAAATATAAATTCTTACATACATACATGCATACATAGAGAGCAAGTTAAATAAAAGCTTGTAAAGAAATAGTACACATTTTACATTATTTAAAAATGTTGTTGTTTACAATACGGGTATTCACCATCCGTCGTAAGCCTCGTTGTTTCCTAAAGTCATAAAATTGTTCAGCCTAAAATAACGGCTAAAATGTTTTTGACTTTTAATTTACCCTAAAGATCTGCTAAAAGCATTTTTACATTGAACAATTTTACCACTTTAAGACAAAACAACGCCTATGACGACTTGTGAATACCCTAAATGCAATATGTATAGAATATTTTCCGAATAGAATTCTACCTGTAAAATTCTTAATTAAAATTTGTTATTGACAAAATTCGTTGAATGCACTTTTTTTGTTTGGCTTTTACATATATTCGTTTTTTAAATACACACATTTTTCGGTCACTACTTAACCGTTACGTACACACATCACTACCAACCAAGCGACGAACAGCACCGACTCAGCAATAATTTATTTTTGTTCAGTATTTAGCTGGTGTACAACAACGTTTTGTGGACAAATGCAGGCTTTCGACACTTTTAGTACACACACCTATGCACATGCACAAAGAATGTATGTATATTAGGGGGCATCGCCAAAAATTTTCGCGGCTATTCCACAGGAATTATAAAATATTTTATATTTAACGACTGAATCAATTTGTAACGACCTCAAAAAATCGATAGCAGATGAAATCATAAAAAAATGAAGAAGACTTTAAATACTTTATAACTAGACAAATTTTATGAAAATATCACTTTATAAAGCTCCCTCAAACCCATTTAATTTTTTATGACTCAGACCATGAGAAGGTAATAAATTTCATAATTCCGACAGTAACATTTTTTTTTTATGGAGACTGATGCACCCTAACGTATGTATATAGCATAGCTGGGCAAAACGCTACTCGCGAGTAGCGTCTGCGTCGCAGCGCTTATACGTATACAGAAACGACGCAGCGAATTTCAATTCAGTCTGCTTTCAGATTTCATGAGAGTAACACTATGCTTCGCCGTTGAATATTTTTATTCGTAATTTTAGCGCGTGGTTGCCACCTATATATGTAACAATGCCCAAAATGTCTGAGTATGAGTGCCAATTACAGTTTCTGGTTTTAAAAAAAGCTAATAAAGCCCAATGCTTGTTGTGTGGTAATACGACCATTAACCATAAACAAATGAAAAAAACGCTCCACTCAGTGCAATTATAGAAAAGTGCTTCTCAGCGCGACGCACTAGGGCACACATCGCATACTTTATTTTATAATATTTTTTTTATCAAAAGAAATCGATAGAGAAATGTAAATGCTGGTTTATGCCCAAAAATACTTAATGAATAATATTTATAAGTTATACTCTATTTTTAAGACTAAATACCTACTTATATGAAACAAGTAATTTTTAGCAAGAAAAAACCCGACTTCAACTCTCATATAAAAAAAAAATATATATATATATATCTCACGATCCACTGATCGGATCTTAACCAGATTAGTATGGGACCACCTCTGAGATACTACCTTTCCGATGCAAAAAGAATTATCGAAATCGGTTGACGTGGTCCAAACTTATGCGGTAACATACATAAAAAAAAAAAAAAAAAAGATTCCGACGAACTGATAACCTCCTCCTTTTTTGGAAGTCGGTTAAAAAATAAGACCTAAACACCGTAACCATCTGGCCGGTCAGCATATAAAAGAATTTGTTCTAATAAAACGGAGCCCAGGTATTATACAAATGAGTTTACCTAATTTAAGTTTTTTTAAATTATACAAGTACTAAATTTTTCTTATGCAAAAGGTTGTATAAAGTAATAGTATTAGTTACTAAAAACTTCCAAGGTTCATTATTACACTATAGGTATAAGCAAAATAGGCCAAAATACCCATGCACGAAAAATACCACTTTTAGTACATTTATAAAAAATGCGGCAACCATAACTGAGCGCGACGCACTAATACCATGACAAAATGAGACTGTGTTGGTGTGCCCAGCTATGGTATATAGTATGGGAAAAATATAAACACATACCTTTAGTTGTGCATACGTGTGCACTTGTTGGCGTGCAGATATTTTTTTTTCGAATCTAGCGAAATGTTTGCGTTTTAATTTTGCTGACCTCAATGTCACAGCCTGTGCCAAGTACCGAGCGCCGTGTGAGGCGTGCCGCGTGCCGCGTGCTGCCATAACCCGCTTTTAGCCGCTAGGAATAAACTCTCATCATTACCGCACCACCGACCGCAATTCCACTTAGTGTACCCTTCTACGCTGCAGTGTAGTTTTTGAACCGCCTAATGCTAGTATATATGTACATATGTATATGTACATACAGTGACTCAAACAAATGACCACGTGTTTTTTTTTTTAAATACTCGTAATATTTTTGCAGCTAATTTTTGTTTGTTATTTTTATATAAAAATATCGTCTAAACTTTAACCAAAACCGTGTAAATCACCGCTTTCAAACTTTATACAAAATTTGAGCAAATGCAATAAATTTTCATAAAAATTTCAACTTTTTATTCTGCTTGTTTAGAAAATTTTTGGGTATGCAGTTTTATAGCCTATACAATTTTAGTCTAATAGAGTTCAATTTTCAAACGGCGCATTGATTTTTGAGAATTTTTTTTTAGGGTTTTTTTTTCAAATTTTTAATATAACAAGCGCAATTTGCAAAAACTTGCGTTGATATTTTGAAATTTTGTTGCCGACGGTCTCCCGCGTTTTATTTCATAAGAAATTCATACTTATATGAAAAAAGTACAACAATCCGTCACCAAAAAAAAATCTCAAAAATCAACGGAATTTTTTAGCCGTTTAAAACTTGCACTCCATTGGACTTAAATTGTATGGGCTATAAGACTGCATACCCAAAAATTTTCTAAAAATTCGGGTTAAAAAGTTAAAATTTTTACGAAAATTTGTTGAATTTTCCTAAACTTTGTAATTTGTTTGCCTCACTGTACATATGTACATGGACATACGATTCAAAGTCAGCGCATATTTGTCATTATGCTGTGTCGTTAGTTTTGTATATTCATACGACTGCTTTTGCTGGATATCTAGTTGGCTACCTGCCTGCCTGTCTGTCAACATCAAAAAATTGCATGAGAGGCACGTTTTACTTTTCAAAATTTTTAACGCTGTGCAGTTTGAATCTAAGCAAGATTTAATCCTGCGTAGGGTGTCCCCTCTCTATTTTTTTTATATAGCGTTTGTCAAAATTTGTAGTACCAAGTAAATGAAGTACATGTCGCTCATTTACTAAACGATTGTCGCTCTTCATTCAACTAAAACCATTTATTTGGATTTGAAAATAGTAACGAAAGCGCAAGGAGCTTAAATCTGATTAATATGCGGAATGAGGGCGTAATCCGTAGCCCTATGCAAGCAATATCTCCATTGCAACTGCACACATGTGCACCCGTGAATTTTCGTAGTGTAAGTGAACTTTTTTCTTCGCCAAATGCGGTCGTTTTTTTGCTCCATGTCAAAGTCAAATCTGTCCAACAGCTTCGTATAATTTAACCTGGTTTTAGAGTAATCGCTGATTTGAATGCCACCGCGTACCTCCCAAAAACTCTGTCACTTTGATTTTGTTCACGAAAACAACTCAAATTGAACAGGTTGCAACAACAACTATACACAAGACGATTTTGGCCGCAATTTTAAACCTATTTTGAAACCAAAAAAACTCTCCTCATCTACAGAAAAATAATTTTCCAACTGTGCTCTGGGTTTTGATTAAGCTGCAAAGTGGAAAAAACCACCTTCAAAGCTGCGAAAATTCTGTGCAGTGTGAAATGAAGACTAGACTAAACGATTTTTACGTCCGAATTATAATTGGTATGCTGGTGGCACCCGCATATTTAAAAGGAGTATTCAAGAGCACCTTTGCTTCCTAAAGGCAAACTGAGCTTCGATTTGAATCGGGTATCGCTAGGAACGAAAAGGTCTATGCGTTTTGCGCCAGATTAACCTCACATGAGCTATACTTCTAAACAAATATAATCGTCGATAAAATTTTTGCACAAGCAACCTAAAGGGGTTTGTTGTTAGGGGTCAACGATCTCTCACTTCCTCTTTACTGGCGCAAATTATTCCTTTAGTATTTTATACAATTTCGCATTTCCATAAATCCATTAATCATATACCAAATTTTATTAAAATTTGAAGCCATTTATGCTCACAGAAACTAAACCCACAAGCCACAGCAGTATGCACGCGAATATCTCTTCAACTGCTCATGCACTGCAGCTGTAATATCAGCTTACATCCCTGCCATAAGACGCTGCACAATTTTTCTTCATTTTTCATTTTCCATTGTGTTAAATAAAGTAGAAGCTTAAGCATAAGTTCAATTGATACATTTCTATGTTGCTGATTAAAGCTATAAAGCGGAGAAACTGTCAACTTTTCCTTTGCTGATTTGCATTTGAAATATGAAACGCTGAGGTTGAAATATAGGAAAATGAATGTGCGTATTACTAAGCAGCTGCTGCTTTTCCAATACATACATATACAAAAATATTCATGTAAGTACTTGCGTAAGGATAAACATAAGTGCACCATATCTACGGTGACCAAAAAAAAAAATTCTTAAAATTTGCACTAGTTTTACTAAAATTTAATAGGCTATCAAACTGCATACTCAGAATGTTTCTAAGAAATTTAATTTAAAAAGGACAAAATTTTCATTATATTTTCTCCACTGTATCTACAGCATATTTTCTTCATACTCATGAATTTTTTAGGGAAATAGAATTACTTTTTATAAACCCACTGAATTCAAGCAAGAATATTTTCATAAAAAAAAACACAAAACTTAACAAATACTTACAAAAACCTTAAAAAAAACTTGCTGACAGGAATGATGACAGCAATATAGCGAGAGTACCAGTTTGACAGAATAAAACATAACCAAAGATTGTAGAAAATAAACATGCTGGCTATGTTTATGTAAAGTGCTGCCACATTTGTACGAAAGAATGTTTTTGGGCCAGAGTACAAATTAAATTGTCAAACTAATAAATAAAACACTGAAAATCGTGAGCGGTACAAATATGAAAAATCGGAACACTTATATGTCCCGAAATTTAAAAAAAATATTCAGCGGGACTATTTTCTCGAAATCGGTACAATCCCGCCAAAATCGGTACGAATGGTCACCGTAACCATACCCAAGTGAAAGCAAAAATGTGCGTACGAAACTGAAATAGAAGCTATGCATTCATAGATGCTTGTTTGTCATATGAATGTCTATATATGCATCTGTATGTTTGTAATGCGCAATGCTTGCTTGCCATTGCTCATTATTTATGAAATATATTCATTTTGAATTTACACATACATTTGAACGTATAATACATAGCTGACAGAATCTCGACTGTTGTATGTACTCGTATATAGTTATGCAGAAAATAAAGGCTGGGAATTATTTTCATCGTAAATAAGCATTAAATCTAATATGTATAAATTTTACATTCGGTATATCAACGGGTTTTTTTTTATATTCCCCATTGAAAGTAAAAATAAACGCACATTTAATATTTTCCTTTTTCTCATTTTTAAAACCAACTAGAACTAAATATTTTTTTTTTACTTTTGAGTTGTGTCATTATTGCAGATAATTATCGATAAGTATATGTACATACTTACGGCTCAGTACTGCACACTAAATAAAAATTCTCAGAAAAAAGGCGAGTCTTCCGGTTGAACGATTTTGCAATTTGGTTACTCATACGCCCCAGTGCACCATGCTGAGTTAGCACGTTACAAGCGTTGATTTTACACGCACATTCGTTTATACAGAGTAGTTTGTGAGTGCGTGCGTGACTGCCAAAAGACCTCGATCAAAGTACAGGTATAATGAAAGCAAAAAAATGGAAAATTCGAAATAGGAAGTAAAGCACTCCCGCGAAAACCTCTCGCTGATTGCGCCAGTGGCCCAATGCGCTACACTTTTGGCTGTTGCCAAAAAAAAAAATGTACCAATACATTTGCGCTACAAGTGTAATATGCCGCTGGCGAAAGAACAAATTGATTGACAACTCGCAACTCGAAAAAGGTCAGTGTTTCCTCGAAAACCATGTTCATATCGCTAGCTTAGAGTGAAAAGTTGCTAAGTCTACTTTTTATGAAAACTCATACTTTCAAAGAGGAGGCTAGAGAAATGTAATTGTTTCGAAAAGGATAAAGGTACTTATTTTATTTATTCTTCTTTATATTCAATGAAAGAAAA